TATGCCGACGCCTAACACGCGTCGCCGGTTTAGTCTTCTACCGATTGAAAAAGACACCAGAATACCAGTTTGGGGTATTTTATCCCTAAGCCTAAGTAGGGATAAGTCAACGTCTAATACACGTTGCCGGGTAGCCTATTCCCGTAACAATGGCGAAGCCTATGTATTCAACATCATAGCACAAAGTCTCAGAGAATTCACTCTCTTAGCACAACGTTACATGCGGAACGGATTTAAGCAATCCGCATGCTAGCCCGACTCAAACGGTAGTCGGTAAAGGCTAATCAAATCCATTGAAGGCTGGGGGTTAGCCAAAAATCCTATAAATACGAGAGTCACTGATGCATCAACTTCATTAGTTGGTCTCGTGACTTGATCATCCTACGACATTCGAAACCCTAGGGTCAACGCCGGTCAAACGCGTAACCCTAGGTCAACGCCAGTCAACGCATTGCGATCAAAAAGTCAACGTACGACATTCGAAACCCTAGGGTCAACGCCGGTCAACGCGTAACCATAGGTCAACGCCAATCAATGCGTTGCAATGAAAGAATCATTACTCCGAAAAGTATACGAGTATAAACCGCCGCAGAGTTCATCTCTAAAACGCATGCGGCCTGTGCGTTTCGACTCCCAGCGAGCGCCCAACTCTGCGTTTCATCTTTAAGACGCAGAGTTAAGGTCCGAACGCAAGCGGCCTTTGCGTTTTCAACTCCCAGCAAGCGCCCAACTTTGCGTCTCATCTCTAAGACGCAGAGTTAAGGTCCAGAACGCCCAGATTGGCGTTTTGACTCGTTCAAAGCACTAACAGAACGGTTTCAAAACCGTTTTCCCCACGATTTAGGGAGCTGTTTAGGAGGGGGCGGTTACACCCCCACTCAGCCCATTGAGAAGCAGATTAAGGGGGTAGTTACCACCCTTAATCCCCTATAAATAGTGGGAAACTCAACTGAGTTCGGATCCTTCTTTTTTGGGCCTATAAATACGAGAGATCTTCGGCTAGCTTTGGAGGGGATTTTCTCTCATCAACAAAGGGAAATTCGGTCAAGGGCTGGCATTTTCGGATCTGGGACTTGGCAGCAAAGGGAGAGATCGGCATTCATCCTTTGGAGCATTCCTTAAAGCCTTCGGCCTTGGCCTGAGAACCGAATCTCGGTTCAAATCAACTCTTTTTCAAGAGTTTCAAACTCGATTAGAGTTATCAACTCATCAAGAGTTTTAGACTTGCCACGCAAGTTCTCCACAGCGTCAAATCGTGAGGAGAAGACCACGTTCCAGTGAATCAAGACGTTCGGATCGTCAACGAGAAGCAAACTCGACGCGAACATTCGAGGGAGGCATCTCATCACCACCGTGAAGAACCCAGAATTAAACAAAGGGGAGAATCAAATTCATTCTCCTCTCTTTTGTAATCGGAATCCAAATTGTAATTGATTTTGAGAGGAATACAAGTCAATTTTTCTTTCATTGTCTTTTTACTGCAAATTTCCAACAAACACACATTTAGGTTCATGATTGTGATGAAGAGCGTTAGGAGGAAGAATTTGTGCTATTTGATTGGGAGCACGATGAATGGTAGAGAACTGACGACTTCTTTGGATTTGGCTAGACTGTGGCATTTGTTGAGATTGTGATATTTGATTGGTTATACCGTGAATGGTTTGCCGAGGAGTGCTTTGACCTACAGATTGAAGTCCTTTGAGCACATTCGTATGAACAAGAAGACTGAGGTGGAGTCGGCACTTCTATCCATCGATCGAGGGCTTTTTTTAGGTAGTATTCATTCGGGCATTTGGGGGCCATCCAAGGAGGCATCGTTGGGAGGTAATAGATATTTAGTTTTCGAAGTTGGGAACTGTTCTAGGCATTGGTGGGTTGCAACCAAGTCACGTTTGTTTAAAGTCCTAGAAGTCAACAACAGGTGGAGGAGTAAGTTGGTAGAAAGGTAACCCATCGTTTTATTTTGGTAGGGGTTCTTTTTTACATTTGTGTCGAGCTCACGATAGTTTGAGACACTTCATTGGAAAGGAGATATTAGGACGACGAGATGAGATGACAGTTTTGATGGATCATTTCTTATTAGAGAAGGATCGACGTTTGTTGTCAAGCATTAGATTGTACAGGAGTTTTGGAGCTTCGACATATTTTGGTCATCTTAGTCATAGGTTACCGACTGCTACGTTTGGAGTTATTAGATTTGGTGGAGATGCTTCAGATTTTAGGTTATGTCAGATGTTTGGTTGCTCAGCATTTGGTCACATCGAGGATGTGAGATTTGATCCGGTTGCACATTTGGAATTCAGAGGCTCATTTGGTTATCAGTTGGGAGACTCTAATTTTGTTCTGAGCAGGTATGTCATATTTGACTCTCGGCAGGTAGAGAGTGTTGATCAGATCATTTGGTATATTACAACGGGTGGAGAATGATGGTACTCCATATTGGATAGAGATTACTCCACATACTCTAGATCATACTGCATCGTTTGGGATTTCAGCTGAGGTGACACAATTTGGGGATCATTTCGATTTGGATGCATATGATGAGTTGGTTGATTCGAGTGCAGCTGGTAGACATAGTTTGAATTTGGATATGGCTGTTGATTCACCTCAAGTGGAGGTGTTTGGTTTTTTTCACTTTGGGGCCATTGGGAGAGCTATCAGCCGTAGATTTGTTGGTAAAGAGTTGAGAACCCTTCTATTGGATTGAGTGTCTTTGGAGTTCATTTGGTAAACTACGTGAAGGCTCAATTCCTTGGGCATGAGGATACGTAGGCAGTCATTTATGATACCGTAAGTTTGGTGAGTTGATACCGACATTTGGAGTTTGTTCGTATTCTCGTTTGGGTTCTCGACTTGTTGCATGTGGATTGAGTTTGTTGTCGTGGATTTGTTCCACTTCCTACTGGACGCAACAAGTGAGACGTTTGGTTGGTATTGGTGTCAGCTCAGTTTTGGAAAAACTTCACCGAGGTGGAGAATTGTTGGATAGTCGAATCCTAATATATGTTTCCTAATTTGTTTTGGTATCAGGTTATTCGGATTCCTAATCTGTTTTGGTAACATGATTCCAAATCTGTTTTGGTAACATGTTATTAGGATTCCTAATCTGTTTTGTTTTTGGTTTTAGAATTCCTAGTCTGTTTTTGGTTTAGGATTTCTATATATATGGAACGATTGGAAGAGAGAATAAAGCAGCGAATTGGGAATATTTGCAGCATAGAAAAGAGGTATTTTCTGAGCTATTGGTTAGGGTTTTATTTGGAGAGAATTAGAGATTTGTTGGTGAGATTAATTAGTGAGTTCGAGTAAATTATATTCTCAATTTGTACTCTTCTTCTCTATTAGTGAAAACTTCATCCCCTTCTTGCACCGTGGACGTAGGCAACTTGCTGAACCACGTTAAAATTAGTTATTTGTGTTTGTGCCATTATTTTGATTGTGTTTGGCATTCTCTCGGCGTTTGTTTGATTTGATCTCTCGAAACACATCGGTTTGGTTTTGGCTTCCACCACGCACAACAAACTTCCCCTCCTTCGTAGAGAGGTGCAGTTGAATAATAATTAATGCGCACGTCGGGACAAACACATCTTGTGGGGTTCCACATTAATGAACAGTGAGAACCTTGGCAAGGTCCGGCTCTGGAAATTATGTTTTGGAAATATATGCATACTTTTGTGTATCTATGTGGGGCCTACGCTTGATCATGTCACCCGAGGCTTGCTTGAAGTAAAAACCCTCTGAGGGACAGCCATTTTCTCATTTTCTTTCATAAATTTCCAACTTCATTTATGCCCTTCATAAAAGTACATGTACAACTATGACAATATTATTTTGGCTAAATAATAGTAAGGGCTTAATTGCACTTAATGCCTCGTAGGTTTCTCTACTTTGCATTTATATGCCCTCACTTATTTTTTTTAAATCACTTAATATACTGCAAAGTGTTTACAAATTACTCTTATATAACTTTACTTCTTTTCGACATTTATATAACCTAAAGTTTTAAAAATATTCACTTAAATACCTTAAATTTTTTAAATCTTGCACTTAACTGCCCTCAATTATGCAAACTTCGGGGTACTTAGTGTAAATTTTAAGAACTTTAAGATATTTAAGTGCATATTTTTAATACTTAAGGGTATTTAAGTGAAGTTTTAAAATTTTAGCGTATATAAGTGCTACAAAAAGTAAAGGGAGGTTATATTAGTGAAATTTTTAAAAGTTTTAGGGCATGTAAGTGCTGCCAAAAACAATTTAAGTATTATTAGAAAACCTCCTTTAACTTTAATGTTTTTTGAGAGAATACCCATAAACGCGTGAACGACACAAGTCTTGGTTGTAAAAACAACTCCAACATAATTTTATCCACCCATGTGAAAATTATCGTTAACAATGTAATGGGAGTTTTCTGATAAAAATTAAAGTTAAATGGGGTATTGTGATAACTTCTAAAGTTTAGGGGGTTTTATAATATCTTGAAAGTTATGAGGTTATCTAGTAATCATCCAAAGTTTGTCTGTGTAGTGTTGTGGGGGGCGGGGGAGGAGTGTTAGATATTTAATTAGTCTATTAGTCTCATACATATGGTTGCTACGGCTGGTAAGCACTATCTCACTTAACATCATAAATTGTTGTCTAGGTTTTATTATTAATTATCCTATAGCTAACAAAGTGAGCGATTAGTTTCGGAGGCTCCGTGAAAATCTATTGAGACGATTTTAATGAAAAAAATATATATTATGAAAAAAAAAAAACCCAAATGAGTCAGAACAGATTATAACCGGATACAATTAGTCAATACTAAAATCCGCTGGAATTTAACAAGCAGATACTCGCCTATGCATCCGTTAATACTTTTTGACTGGATAAAAGGGACCATATGGATAAAAACAGAAAATCCTAACAACTCTCCTGAATCTGAATCGTAACAACTAAACATCTCTGATATTTCGGATTCACATTATCCATTTTAGTTATCTATTTAAACCCCCGGAGTACCCCTCATCAGTAGTCACAAACGCTCACTTACTTTTCTCCTACCCTATTCCATAACCATGAAGCTGTCCCTCCTTCACACTTCTCCCGCCCTCCTCCTCTTCATCATCCTTTTCCAAACTCTAAATCCACAGCCGACGTCAGGCTTCCTTTCCACCTCGGACCGATGGATCGTCAACGAGTCAGGCCAACGTGTCAAGCTCGCGTGCGCAAACTGGCCATCTCATTTGGCCCCTGTGGTCGCCGAGGGGCTCAGCAAGAGCCCATTGGATGCCATATCAAAGTTAATAGGCTCGATGGGTTTCAACTGTGTTAGGCTCACTTGGCCTCTCTACCTTGTTACCAACTCCTCCTATGCTACGCTCACCGTTCGTCAATCCTTCCAAGGGCTCGGCCTCAATGTATCCCTCGACGGATTGACGAAAAACAATGCTTGGATCCTGGACAAGACGCTCATCGAAGCGTACAAGGTGAGCTATCAAAAAATAGAAATCGTGTTTACGGACGTTGTTGCTTGTGGGGTCCTTTAGTGCAGCTCATTTATGGTTACAAGTCCTATATTTGTAGGATAGGTTGCATTGGATTCGTAAGTTTGTTTCAGTAGATATAGAACTTGTGTTAATTAATGTTGCTGGTTTTATTATTATTATTATTATTATTTTTGAGTAGGCATACTGTTGTTGTTGCTTTAGGTGTTCTCTATAGTTAAAGTCTTAAAGATATAGAGTAGTTTAAAAGTTCATTTCGGTTTGTGTACAACTAGAAAAGTTATTATAGTTGCTTTAATTTCAATACGTTTAATTATTGCGTGCTATATGTGAAAGGTTTGTAAAAGATTAATTGTCTAGGTTCCTTTATGCATTACTAGCTAGTTCTCCGTCCTGCATAATGCAACTAAAAAGCATTTTAAATGTTATTTAAAATGCAGGAAATGCATCATAACCATGAAAAAAATATAACATTAATTTTTGTGATACTGTTGACCGAGTTGATTCACAAGTAAGCTTTGAAATCCGTATAGTGACTCGGATGTAACAACATGACCAAAATAAGTGAAGATAATACTAAGTAAGGACGATCAGGATTTAACACCAACACGGACGTTCTCATGCTATTGGACGCATTAATTGGGAGTCAATATCGCTTTAAAGTAGTCTATAGATATGAGGTCATGAAGGGTAGTTTGTTTACTGCATTCATTTTTGACATTTTCTAATTTTATTAAGTGTTGATGACCAGCAACCTTTTTGTTTAGTATAGCAAACTGAAGGATTAGTTGGCTTCTATCATGAAGAATGTTGATGACCAGCAACCTTTTTGTTTAGTATAGCAAACTGAAGGATTAGTTGGCTTCTATCATGAAGAATACGAAACAAATTGAAAAATAAGATCTAGTATAGCAAACTGAAGGATTAGTTGGCTTCTATCATGAAGAATACGAAACAAATTGAAAAATAAGATCTGGGACTCTAAGATATATATGGTTGCCTAAACACGCACGTGTCCAGCATCCAGCCAAATACAAAAGATGGTTGATTATGGTGAATTTGAGTATGAATAATAATAATTTCTTCTTTGTTTATGTTGGATCAAATATGATGCAGGCTGTGGTGGCAAATCTTGGGAGCAACAACATAATGGTGATCCTGGACAATCACTTAACTCAGCCGGGCTGGTGCTGCAACAACAACGACGGCAACGGTTTCTTCTGGGACCCGTTCTTCAATCCTAACGAATGGCTCGCCGGGCTCTCACGAATGGCCAGATTGTTCAACGGAGTCACCAACGTCGTCGGCATGAGCCTGAGAAATGAGCTCAGGGGTCCAAGACAAAATGTCCCAGATTGGTACAAGTACATGCCGATGGGCGCCGACGCGGTTCACCAAGCGAACCCTAACGTCCTCGTCATACTCTCAGGACTCAACTTCGATAATGACCTCAGCTTTCTGTCGAAAAAAAAACTCAAGCTCTCCTTTCCCAACAAGCTCGTCCACGAGGTGCATTGGTACGCGTTCTCAAATACCGATACGTGGAGCAATCAGAACGCCAATGATGCTTGCGGCTCTATAACCTCCAACATAATGAGGAAAGCGGGGTTCGTACTGAGTCAAGGAACTCCGTTGTTCATGAGCGAGTGGGGGATCGATCAGAGGGGAGGGAACAGGAATGACAACAGATACTCGAGCTGTGCTCTGGCAGCTCTAGCTGAGCTAGACCTTGATTGGGCTCTCTGGGCTTTGCAAGGGAGTTATTATCTAAGAGAAGGCGTACTCGATATGGAGGAGGTTTATGGTGCTATGAATTTAGATTGGTCTGGACCAAGGAATGCTACCTTCCTACATCGGCTCGCTTCTATAAAATCTCCCTTCCGAGGTATAATTAGTTGACATAATGCCCTGCCTAATACCATCACGCTGTCCTTTTGTAACTAACTGCGTAAATAACGATACGATTTTAATTCTTGGCTCAGGCCCAGGACTCAACAACCCCCTCAACACCGTGCTCTACCATCCGAAAACAGGGTCGTGCGTCGTCCAGGACGGTTCGACAAATTCGTCATTGCATTTAGGCCCTTGTGACTCACCGAGAGGTTGGAAATATAATGGTCAGACCATCCAGCTCGTAAATTCAGACTCGTTCCTGAAGGAATCAGGTGCAGGCCAGCCGGTGACGCTCGAGAATTTCGCTAACAGCGGTAGCTTCAAATGGGATCTGATATCAAACTCGAAACTACACATCACTTCACAGACTAATCTATGCCTGGATATCGGCTCTGATGGCAGCACTCTCATCACGAATCCCTGCAACTGCATCGGTAAAGACAAGAACTGCGATCCTGAGGGTCAATGGTTCAAGATGGTTCCCAGCAACAGACCCGTGCAGCAATGACCGAGAGGGGACTTAGAGGGTAGGTGAGGAAATAATTGTTGGAGTAGTGGAAAAGCCTATGAAAATATTCAATAAGGAATGATTTTATGTGCATATACCTCAAGTCTCTCGCTCTTATGTGTTTGGCAATTGCAACGAAAATAGAAACTAGTAAAAAGCTTAACTGATACATCCTTCTTATTATATGAACTTTGCACAATTTTCAAGGCAATTAGGGGATAACATGGCGGTCTATAACATGGCGGTCTATAAGTACTAATTAACTATATGAACTTTGCACAATTTTCAAGGCAAGTTAATCGGGGAAAATGGATTTTATTAGAGAAACCATTTAATTGAAGCTAGCTTGCTTCCTCTGAACTCAATGTAAAAACTGGAAGAATATGGCTAAAAGAATCTATACAGAGCAGAATTTTCACGCTCGTTCGCTCAATTTAATGCATTGTCTTCTTTCACCGGTTCAATGCAAATAATGTTTGAGGCCCAAAGAATATTTAACACTGACAAGATTTTTTGGCCAACCTTCTGTTGACATAATTTAACAAAATTCTGTAGAGCGGTTTCTGACCGAGTTTGTTAATATATAACATATTATAATTTGAATAAGAAAATACATGTACATGATCAATTACCAGCAATTGATACGGAACATTTTATTATTATTAAAGCACTAAATTGATCATTGATTAGGTTCCTACGGTGAGAATTATATAACAAGGGATATATGAGAAGGATTAACTATCCCGCTCCAATGTCTTTAATATACTTAATTTATAATTTGAAATTTTGAAAATGTGTATTTGGTCTGAAAATTTGATTTTAAGCCCTGAAGTTGGATCATTCATTTGAGGGTCGACACTGAAGTAGAAAGGTAATATTATTTTGACCGGAGCATCCTTGGAGTGCCTGTTTGGGTGTTCGAGCATCCTTGGGGCGCCTGTTTGGACGATGAACCTCACAGAGCAAATTAGCCCAATCTAATTATTGTTACTGAACGATTGCCCATCTAATATACTCAACTGGAAGTGCCAAACTTTGTAATAAAAATTACATAATGCTGGAGAATCACTGACAAATAAAACATTGGCTATGTCGACAGATTTCCCTTTTCTTTTTTAATTTGAAACTATCTGCTCATAAATATGCAGATGTCCAAGAAAAATGGTATGAAGCTAGGATTTTCGGTTAAGCCCGAAGTGACCTAATCCCCTAAAGAACAAGAAAGCACAACAGTGGAAATGACAGTAAATTGTAAGGGTGTGAAAAAATGACCCTGATATGACAAGAATGTGTTCCCAATGCTGTCTGATATGGTACAGCTACAAGACAGAACACAAATATTTGCCCTTCAAACTAGTATTACTTCACAGCTACCTGAGATACTAGTTTGTAAGAAGCCAGAAAAAAGTAGTCGGAGGGGAGTAATTGATGGCAAACATACCCTGTAAAATCTAGAGCATTGAGTTCTCTATGATGGACAACTCTTCTACACCCCTTCTCATTTTTATCCACCTGGTTAATCATCAAGTAGACAATATCTAAACAGAGAAGATAAATTGAGAGCAGAATGTGTTGTTGTGGTGGTTCTGTTGATGAAAGAAAAAGCCTGATGTTTGAATCCATAAGATTAGACTTAAGATTGAGGTTCCCGTGATCGTCCTATTTGGCAGGTGAAGATCTTGTTGTGCTCTGACACTAATTGTCACGCGCCTATGCTGAAGCGTGCTCGCTCACCAAACAAGTCGTAATCACAGGAGAAGAATAACCATTCACACACGAGCACAATCCAAAACTGAAATACGATAGATCAATCATAAACACAGAGATATACGTAGTTCGGCAATTTGCCTACGTCCACGGAGAGAGAATGGGGAAATTCAACTAAATAAATGAGAGTACAAAGGGTTACAATTTCACAAAACTCACAAACTAACCCTCAACCAAATCTCTCAACATGCTCACAATATCTCCCTCTCACAATGCTCAAAAGTCTCTCTAATCTCTGATTACAAGTCTACTCTTTTTTATTTGATCCTAATCTCTTCTAAGGCGTTCAATATATATAGAAAACCTAAAACCAAAACAGACTAGGAATTCTAAAACAAAAAACAAAACAAATTAGGAATCCTAATAACCTGTTACCAAAACAGATTAAGAATCATGTTACCAAAATAGATTAGGAATCCTAATAACCTGTTACCAAAACAGATTAGGAACCTGCTATCCAACAATTCTCCATCTCGGCGAAGTATTTCCAAAACTAAGCCGACACCAATATGAGCAACAATTCATCGTCTCACCAAATTCATCTGCACCAATGTGGTTGCCTACGTACCCCCTCTCCCAAGGGATCAAGCCGTCCATAGTTCATCCCAATGGCCGTTAACGGCCTTAACAATCACGAATGTGCAACAAGTTTCAACAATGACCAAACTTATTGCTCGGAACTACCTTAGTGAGTATATCCGCCGGATTATCCTTCGTGTGGACCTTAATGATCTCTACATCCTCATCTTCAAGAACATCTCGAATGAAGTGATAACGAACATTAATGTGCTTCGTCCTTGCATGAAAATTTTAATTCTTCGCCAAATAGATAGCACTCATGCTATTACAATAAATAGTGATGGACCGCTGCGATATACCAAATTCCTCCAAAAGTTCTCGAAACCAAATAGACTCCTTCACAGCCTCTGTTATCATCATATTCTATGACTCCATCGTAGACAGAGCCACAGTAGACTATAAGGTGCATCTCCAACACAATGACGTACGGGTCAAAGTGAACACACACCCGTAGTAGACCGACATTTATCCAAATTTTCGGCATAATCCGAATCAACATAGCTAATGCACAACTGTCACCTGTAGTGTAACTCTCATAAACTAAACCAATATTGAGCGTACCTCGAATGTACCTCAAAATCCATCTCACGGCATCTCAATGACCCACTCCTGGATCGTGCATGTATCTCGAAACCATGCTCACCGCCTATGATAAATCTAGCCTCGTACATACCATCACGTACATCAAGCTCCCAACCGCACTCTCATATAGAGTATTTGACATCAACTCTCAATCTTCAACTGTCTTCGGTGAGAGGTCAGCTGAAAGATTCAAATGGGCTCCCAAAGGTACACTAACTAGCTTTGTATCCATGATAACATGAAATCGCTATAGAACATTCTTCAAATAAGCCACATGTTTCAAATAAATTCTGTCATTCTCTTTGTCTATGTCAATCTTTATCCCTAAAATACGCTTAGCCTCACTCAAATCTTTCATCTCAAACTCTTTTGAAAGTTGTGTTTTCAACTCATCTACATAAGACCTAGAAATAGAAGCAACCAACATGTCATCAACATAGAGCAAGAAATGGATGTGCACACCTCCTTTCAACTTTTAAAAATACACGTAAGGATCAAACTAGCTTCAGGTGTACGAATGACTAAGTATAAAACTGTCGAATCTCCTATACCACTGTCAAGTAGAATACTTCAAACCGTATAGCGATTTCTTCAATCTGCAAACAAGGTTTTCTTTCCCTGCAGCTAGGAATCCTAATGACTGAGTCATATATATTTCTTCATCAAGATCACCATGAAGAAATATCGTCTTTACATCCAACTGGCCTAACTCCAATCCATTATGTGCCACCAAATCTAGTAAAATCCGAATCGCAGAATGCTTCACCACCGAAGAGAAAACCTCATTATAATCAATACCTTCCTCATGTGCATAGCCCTTCGCAACCAACCTAGCCTTAAACATCAATGGAGTGTCCTCAATGCCCTCCTTGCAACCAATTGTCTTCCACACTTTTTGAAGATCAACAAGTTCTCATGTATCATTCTTATGAAGGGAGTCTATCTCTTCCTACATAGCAACCTGCCATGAATCATTCTCTAAACTCTGTTCGGGCTCTCTGAATTTAGTAGACACTAAGTTATCTATACTCTCTCCACCAGAAGTGCATATGCAACTACTGTTTCTGTATACCGTACTAGCATCCATATGTCTCTCCTCTGTCTCCGAATCGTAATAGAATCCTGAACTTGAGCCGTCGGTCCCTAATCCTACACAACTATACCCGTATCCTCTTCGTCGTCGATGTGCTCGCCTGGCATCACTTCAGTCGGCACTCTAATGGATATTGTATCATCTGGACAATGTGGAGATTTATCAATCTCCACCACCTATGATATTTCCTCTGTCAGGTCGCTCTCCACCTGATAAGAGTTGGGAAGATTCAAGATAGAAGCCTCATCGAACTTGACATCTCTACTCAGTACAATATTCCTATCAACTAAATCCCAAAACTTGTATCCCTTGACACCACGCTTGAATCCTACAAATATGGCCTTCCTAGCTCGAGGTTCTAACTTATCAGTCTTTACATGATAGTATGTAGGACACCCAAATACGTTGAGCTGGTTATAGTCGTGTGTTGGATCTCCCGACTATATCTCCATAGAGGTCATCCCCTCAATCGCAGATAAAGACAACCTATAAATGAGATGGCTCGCATATTAAAGTGCCTCAGCCCAAAAGATTTTCTCAAAACCACTATGCGCTAAGAAACATTGGATCTTCTCCAGCAAAGACTGATTTAATCTCTCTGCTACACCATTCTGCTATATTGTATGACTAACCATGAAGTACCTCTCTATATCCTCGTCTCGACATAGCTGCTGAAAGGGGTCTGATGTGTACTCACCACCGTTGTCGGATCGTAACGTCTTGATCTTTCTCCTAGTCTGCAATTCTAACCTCTTCTTCTACTCCACAAATATATCTAGGAATTTACTCTTCTTCGTCATGGTGTACACCTAATAACGTCTGGAATAGTTATCAAATGTGACGAACCAATGTCTACCACCAAGTGATGCGGTCTTGGTGGGACCCCAAACATTTGTGTGCACATAATTCAGGATGCCTCTCGTCCTATGAATGGTTGTCCCGAACTTCACCATCGTCTTCTTACCAAGAACACAGTACTCATAGAACTCAAATTTTCCACTCTTGACTCCCTTCAATAGCTACTATTTGCACAGCGCCTGTAGTGACTTCTCTCCTGTGTGCCTAAATCTATAA